TAAAAAACCAGTTGTAACCAATTGAAATTCATGTTGAACTTGCAAATATGAACATATCTAGGAAAAATTATGTAAAATATAAAACAACCTTCAAAAGGTGTAAAAGAAAGTCATTTTACATTTTCAAATAAAAATAAAAAATCAGTTGAAATAGAAAGTTAATTTACCTTATCAGATGAATATAAAAAACCAGTGAAGTATTAAAAATCCTTATGTGTATACATTTTATAATAATTAATCGATTTTGCACTTGTGAAAGCAACCGCTCTTAAACACGTCAGACAACATAATGTACAGGCAGAAAGTCGAGAGAGGACAAGAACAGAGAAAGTCAAGAGAGTACAAGAACAGTGAAAAATTAAGAACTGGAGAGGGAACGTATCATGTTAGTATACGAATCAGGCAATGACTTCGTATCGTTTTGTCTGTTTATACCGTGTGTTTGTTTCTTAATATAGATCATCTCAGAAATTAAACGTTTTCTGTAGGAAGGTTCTATGTCCAATATTTTTATGTTACTCCATTTGAAATCATGATTCGTTTCAATTCTATGATTAATAATAACTGATGGCGATTTTGAACCTTTATTAATGTCTGAGACATGTTCCTTTACCCTTGTTCTCAATTGTCTCTTCGTCTGGCCTACATAGCTAACATCACAATCTCACAAGATATTTTATACACTACATTCTGATTATGTGTATGTTCTAATTTGTCTTTACCTCTTTTAATGTAGTATTTAAGTGTGTTAGGGATAGTGTAAGCCAGTTTACAATCTACAACATTAGCAATAGGTTTAAATCTCTCAGAAATCGAGTTAACAAATGGAACAGCGAAAAATTTATTTAAAGAAGTATTATTATTATTCATGTTATTATTGTTAATATGGTATTTTATTCTATTATGAATTGTGGAAAAAATGAATTGAAGAGGGTATCTGTTATTCAAAAATATATTAACAGCATCAATCAAATTATTTTGTTGGAAATTAGGATGGCACAGACGAACAATTTTATCAATAACACTATATATAACTCCTCTTTTATGACAAACTGGATGTTGGGAATGAAAACTAAGGAATCTGCCAGAAAAAGTAGCTTTGCGGTAACCATCAAAAATCATGTAACAATCCTTGACAATAATATAAGTGTCTAAAAAACTTATTTTCCCATCCTTGCCAACCTCCATAGTAAACTGTAATCTTGCGTGTAATAAGTTACTAGATATGTTCTTATTTGCAAGTTAAACTTGAATTTCAATTGGATAATTTACACTTTTAACATTGAACGACATGATTATTCTCACGACGTCAGGAGATGTTATTATTAATTTATTCGTTTCTTGGAGGTTTTACGCATAAATGCAACCGTTATTTAAGACATTGTATTATTTACTCTTCTTAGATTATTGACAAGATTGTTCTTTAATTATTAGGAAATGTTACAATTATTTATTATTTTTTATGATAATATTATGCTAGCGACATTAGAGGATAAGTTATATTTATTGTATTATATATTTTGTAAGATTTTACTAATGTGACCGGAATTCTAAGATAAAGTTGTTGTGCATTGAAAATGACCTGATCGGAGTCGAAACGTTTGTAATGTTATTATTTTAATTAAAGTTGTTCGTTGTAATATTGGTTCTATGCCCTGTTAATATTTATATTATTTTATATTATTTATATTGTATACTGAAGATGGCCTGATATAGATCGAAACATCTATAATTTGTATCTGTGTGTGTTGTGTAACGTAAGAATTTTAAATATATAACATTCGCAAAAAACATCTTGCGCGTGGTTGAATGCTCTTTATATTTTATGTTTGCAAGTTTAAAGAAATGTAAAAAAATTATTTATGTATAATTATATATAAAATTATGCATAATTATGTGTGAGTAATTTTTTAAATATTTTTCCAAACTTGTTTTTTTCTAAAACAAACAATGGGAAAATTATCCCTTTAATTATTTTTTATGTTTTCACGTTACTATTATTATTTCTAATACATTAAAAAATAATTTTACGATAGAAAGAAGGATGTATGAACATGTAAAGACATATTTCATATATAATATTATTATATATTATACATGTTTATGAATATTTATGCGTGTTATGCTGTTATGTATGTTTATACATATTTATACATATCCATGCATGAAAAATTTTTTGCCGGGAAGAACAAGCTAAATTGTCGGGAATCATCTTTTTGGAATTTACGTTACTTATGTGTAATTTAGAATTGTATTTTATATTGATAAGGACCCAAATTGAAGAGTTGAAACGTTTATATTTGATTCGTTTTGTTACATTCACACGAGAATAAAGTGTTTTCTGTGCATCTCCGAACAACAGATGTAGGTTTTGATGGGCTTTTTTATTTTTTACTGATAAATTCTTTCGAGCCTCATTTTATATATTTGTTTGTTCATATATATAATTATATAAAATTATATATAATTATGTAGGAACAATTTTTTTTATATTTTTTCAAACTTGATTTTTTCTACAGCGAACAATGCAAAAATTATCTCTTTAATTGTTTTGATGTTTTCGTATATCATTATTATTATTTTTGTTACACTAAAAAATAATTTTACAAATAAAGACGGAAAGATATATGGACATGCATAGACATATTTCATATATAATTATAGTATATGTTTATGAATATTTATACGTCTTTACCATATGTATGTATTTATACATATTTATACACATATTCATGCATGAAAAATTTTTTACTGGATATATTATACTATTGAATGCGGAATTATAACATTAATATCATATTTTTTTTAGTTGATATTAATTCATAGGTGGATCCTTAGTTTGCAGCAAGATAAAAAACGCAAGAGGAGGATTTTTCAGAAGATTTACAATTTGATGACTACACCCAGCAAACGAGAATGAATTAAAATGGATTCAAATTTTCAGAAATACAGATTCATGAATGTTAAAATGAATCCTTTTTAATCCTGAATGCATTCTTATTCGTTTATAGGAATTGCATGAAACAAATATCTATTCCTTTTCAATCTTGAATACATTTTTATTCATTTTTAGGAATGGCATGCAGTATATTTCTATGCTTTTTAATCTAAAAATAATATTATAGTATTTTGTGTGCATTGTGAATACTGCTTAATTTAAAATTTTGAATAGGAAGTGTAGTTTTTCAATCCAGTTGAATCTAAAAATAATATCGGCTATTTCTGTGCATTATGAATACTGCTCAATTTAAAATTCTGAACAGGAAATGCAGTTTTTTTAATCCATTTGAATCTAAAAATAATATCAGCCATTTCTGTGCATTGTGAACACTGAATATTGCTAAATTTAAAATTCTGAATAGGAAATGCAGTTTTTTAATCCAATTGAATAAAAAAAAGTTTTTCTTTTAATGGCCCATTTTCTTAAAACGGGTTACGAATACTATTCAACTCAAAATTGTGAAAATCCATTGTTTTATTAATGAAACAATGAATCATGAATGCTATTTTATTCAGAATTATGAATAAGGAAATTTTTCGTTATTTTAATTCGACTAAATAAAAAAAAAGTTGTACCGTAAAAATATATCATGAAAAGAGTGAGAGAGAGAGAGAGAGAGAAAATTTTACTTCAATTAATAGTTAAAAAAAAACATAAAAAAAACTACGTAAATATACCCAGATAGCACACAAAATTCTATGAATATTCCATGTCCGTATCAATATTCTTTTCCGAGAATATTCATATTGAATATTTATAAAATATTCCTAAAACATTCAAAATTTAATTGAACATTTTGAATGTTCTAGGAATATTCTTTTCAGCAGAGGACACTGTACGCCTGTGCTGCGATCTGTGATTAATCAGAGTAAATTCTTCCTCATAGTCATGTGACCAGTTACGTGACCACGCGTCTCGATCTTGTATGTTTTCCGCCATCTTTGTCCTCAAGGAGACAGTTATAATTTCACATTCGTCCAAGAAATCATGATAATTTAATCCACTGAAGTAAAACATAAATCCAGAGGACACGAAGAAGAATTTTCTATGTGGAAGAAGTCTATCTAACAGAATTTTCTATGTTGATTCTCTATTCCATGTACTGTGTGTTTTATAGGTTTGTTTTACACTTTTTCTCGAATCTTAATATCTTGCACATAATTAACTAAATATTTGTAGTTTGTACTTTCGTTATCCCAAATCAGTATATAGTTGCATATCTAATAATATATTGTCTTCGAAAACATGTAGTAATCGAATATTATATGCATATGTATAATAGTTGTATGTATAGTAGTGTTGTATATCGTATATTCATTATTTATTTAACATTATTTATCTTTTATTAATTACTATATTGTATAAAAATATGGAACATTCAAAAACAACATTTTATAGAAAGTTACGTCACAATACAGCTATTTTATTAGAACTTTCACAACTGCAGAATACTACAAATATTAATAATAACATTGACAATAACGATGATACTAATAATATCAATACTACAATAAATGTGTTACATATATAAATTTCTTATTTTTATTTAATAAATTAATCGCTTTTATGTATATATATTTTATATTAATACGTTTCCTTGATTGTACAGCTAGCATATATTTTCTGTATAAAAGTTTTAAAATGATAACTATAGAATTTCATGTAATTATTATTTTAATTTATTTAAACTTTTACATGCATAACAATTTTTTTTATATGGAATCCAGTCCGTTTTTATGGATTTAAAATACGAATTTGGATGGATTGAAAATTTCTAATCCATTTCAATCAATTTTCGTTTGCTGAGTATGTTTAAATAAAGCAATTTCAATTTAAAGTTCTAATAAAAAATTTTAAATAAGGTTTTAGCAGTTAGAAATTTTAAATTTGTTTCAAGTGATCTCGTGCTGGTTGGATTAATTGCCAATTAAATTAATCGGAGTTTGAAGAGTGTTCGTAGTAAGAGGTCGCCCTTTAAACTTTAAATGATACGCACGTGCGCATTGTGTAAATTGGTGTAAATCGTGAGTCGATAGAGATTGGATTGCCGCGTCGCATCTCGCGCCATCTTGCGTCGATTGAGCTAGTCAATCCATCCAACATGGTGCTGGAAAGTACGATGATATGGTAAGTCTAGCATTTTACGAGAAATCGTAATTTTTGACATCGTTCCTCGTGATATCTCTAGTATATTTGCGAAGTTCGTTCCCTCCATGAACGATACATTTTCGCTGTGACTTAATTCAACACTTTCGACCGTGTTTGCAATTTTGAGGTTAGCGTAGTGACAATGACGTTGACACAATCTCAGACTCCAAGTGCCTCTGAAATGTCCGCGTTCGTTTATAAATATCGCATATGCTCGAACTAAAGTCTTGTGATCTCAATGTTTTGCAGCGTCGATAATAGCGATTATATGAGAAATGGGGATTTCGTACCTACCCGGCTACAGGCGCAGCAAGATGCCGTCAACTTGGTGTGTCATTCCAAGACTCGCTCAAACCCAGAAAACAACGTTGGGCTCATAACTCTTGCTAAGTATGTCGAGTAGTGATTCAGATATTTGCGATTATCACAAATGTAAAAATTTATGTATGGTGAGGTAAATATGAACATAAATCTCTTTGTCTTTCTAGTGTGGAAGTGCTGGCGACGCTCACAAGCGATGTTGGCAGAATACTGTCCAAACTCCACCAGGTTCAACCAAATGGAAAGTTAGCTCTTATCACAGGCATCAGAATCGCTCATGTAAGTACATATTATTTAGTTCAAGATCTGTTCTTTTTTGAAATATTTTCTAGGAATCGATTGTATATCGTGAAACGAGGTGAAAATTACAAAAGTTAACAAGTTCACTCAGTGCTAATGAAATTGTAAAATTCTAATAAATTTATAATATAATATATTATAGGACCGCACATGTGATAACACAAACTATAGAATCGAAGCCTTACACGGTCTAGCTGGATCTTAACGCTTGTATGATTCTTATGTGATTTTATGTACTACGTATGTAGTCCCACAAAAACGCGCGCCGAAAAATTTCCGGTCTTGAAACGCTAACTCTACTAAACTACCGCAGTAATATCACGAGTTAAATTGACTAGCAATTTAACAAATTTTTGATGCTTATTCGCATCTTCGAAACGATCTTAATAATAATGAATAATATATTAAAATCTGTAAATAATTAATTCTTATTGCGAAAAAATATTACCTCGGCCGGGAGTCGAACCCG